TTCTGTCCTCCAAGTTCAATATGTATCCTGCTTAATTGTTCTAAATAAATTATTGTTTTTGAAAACTAAAAAATAGACCTCAAACATTCATTATGAAAGATGTCTCCACCTTTTTGTGTTAACTGTCAGTCAGTCTGTTTTATTTACTGTTTCGTTTAAAGCCTGTAACGCATTTAAACTGTAGAGGTTGACCCAAAGTTCTTTAGAGCCAGGCACATTTAGGTTCCAGGTCTAAAATAAATGTTTCGATTACGTTAAACGCTGATTATTCGTCAGATAAATCATGGGCTTTATGAGATCAACATAAGCTGCCTTTGTAAGTTGAGCCTATTGGTATCTGTATTAGTATAGCGATACTACTGCACAGCTCTCGTGTTCACTGGTCCATCTCCTCTGCCTCCTTCCCATTTTCCCCCATAGCCCCACTCGTCTAACCCCCTCCTCTCCTTTTTCTTCTCCATCTTCCCTCAGCAACAGCCACACCCCGGTGCTTCAGCTCCGCACTCACATCCACTGCAGACAGAGAGCTTCCTCCTTTGCATCAAATCACTCAAAGCCCTTTAGCAATGACCTGACATCAAACCTTTACACCTATATGTGCGTTGTGTTTTCTTTATTTTTGTGTTTTTACACTACAAAGATGTTGCACAGATTCTACATCATCACACACTGAAGCCACATAATCCGCCTTGCGCGCAGACTTCTGCATTTACGGTAGCTTCGTTTGCAACGGGGAGGGGCCACAGGGTCCCCATACCGCTCTCATTGTCACCACAGCTCTCTTCCCATCCAAGGGCATTAGTGCCGCTCAGCAGCCTGAACCTCCAGGTAAGACCCAAATCGCTTTGCTTCGTCATTTGCGGGGAAATTAGACTTTAAGATGGCGTAAAGCAGCGCGGATGCGCAAGTTTAAGATGTAGGATTGCGACACCGGCTGCTGGGAAAGTTTGACAAAAAGTCAGAGTCTGCACATCAATGTCGCTGTCCACTAATCCTCTGCTGCTGTGTGTGTGGTTATGGTGTTATGTATGGTTATGCGCCTGATTCTTAGAGAGAGTGGGGGATATATGCGAGTGTGGCGGATTGAAATGCGTGCCTTTTAAAGTCGCTTTTCAGTGGAGACTTGTATTTAAAATACTGTTAGGTAGATGTGTTAACCTGGGTATTAATTTGCGGCATTTGTCACCGTCTCGCTGCGTCCCGGTGAGCCTCTCTGCGCTGCTGCATCCTGCGCCTTTTGTTCTGGTCCACGCCTGCATGGTGCTGAAACCGGCGCCGTTCGCAGCCATCCACTGCAGGAAAGGATCCCCCTTTTTCTGCAGTGGATATTTAAAAGGAAAACTGTAAATATAAGTGCAATATAATTGTGGATTATTATAGTTATCCCCATCTCACTGCCCCCCCCTTTTCGGGCTATTACCGATTTGTCAATGCGTTATGATGGGAGTAGCCCAGCGTCTACTTGGCATTATAGGCACCACTACCACCTCTCACCAGCAAAATGTAGTTTGAAGGAAGCCTTTTATGTGACTCAAATTAATAACAATGTCCCTGTTATGACAGCTGAAAGCCAAAACCATATTCTGGGATCTTCCCTGATGGACTCTAATATTGTTTTACAGCCTTAAATATATGTACTCAGTCACAGATAGTGATCTGAAAATCTGCAGGCTAAAAGGGTCTGTTCCAGTTCTGCATCCTTTCAGCATCTCCCGAGCCTCAGTGCAGTGAGGAGAAGCAGGAACTCTGTAGAATTTTAAGTGTGAAAACAGTCTTTTATGGAAAGGAATTCAAGAGTTTATGTGTTTGGACATTCCAGTTTCTGCCTCAGAAGATCCTGGCTGTAGACGAGATGTAGAGGGAAATCAGTGCCTTGGCATGTTGGGGATGTCCAAGCTTGGTAACCTGAGATCCCCCCACAGTTCAGCTTAATGCATTGTGGTTGCTTGTTCAGTCAGATTCGATTTGATCACGAAAAGTGGAATTTGTTTTACCAGCAGTAATGAGCCAGAGGGACGTAGTAGAAATGGACTGATTGTTTTCGCCAGAGTTTTTCCTAAAGCCCCGTGTAATTCAGGTTCACATTAATGGCAGATTCAGATAAACATACAAAACATATTTGCCTGTTTGACACAGAATAGGTGTTTCTTGGCTCAGGCCGAATGAAGGTTGACAAAGTGTATTAGCACAGCAGGCGAGATGTGAATCAAGTTTCACCTGCTTCTCCTGTAAGGACAAGCCTCTGTCAGACCAGATTGGGCTGAGTCTAATCACTGACAGAAATGACCTTAATCAGGGCACGACAGGTTGGGGTTTTGTGTGTGTGCTCACTCTTAACGTCTTTAAATTTCAGTTGTAGTGTGTGTGTGTGTAGGTGTGTGTGTGTGTAAGCCGTATCTAGCGATTTCTTGCTCATATAACCACCAGGAAACCTGAGCCGCCTCCCTGCACCACTTTGGGTGACCTTAAGTAAATCTCCCATCATTGATTCTGGTTAGGTCCTGGAACCACAGACCTGTCATCCACTCCACTGGAATTTAGACACATCATCTTTGTTGGCCCTTCATGATGACAAGCGATTGCATTAGAGTTGTGTCTGGAATCACGATCAGTCTCCGATATTGCTCATTATTCAAGAATTTACGTGCATTCTAGCTTGTTGGTGAAGTAGATTACTGCAGTACACCTCAGTGCCTCAGACACAGGTGTTTAAGGTCTCAGGACATAACTGTTGCTCCCGTCTGAGGCTCCTTTTGTTCCACAGGTGTCTAATGGGAGATGGCAGAGCTGTGCTTTAGTACGTGATTAAGTCTCAACTGTGAGAGGGACCTAATCTAATTCGCCTACGTCAGAAGAACCAAATGGCCCACTGACCTGCATATCAAGTGCACACACACACACATACCAAAGCTTCTTGACATACTCAAGTGCTAGAAAAGATCATAGAAATAAGACAAAAAATATTTAATTTATTCCCCATATCTGGGAATTTATTTTTTACAGCAAGTGGAAAAATGGTAATAATAATAATAGTATTGTATACTTTAATATAATGTAAATGATTATAATAAAGTGTGAGTTCAGCCACATTTCCTAAGTT